ATGGCAAAATGAAAAGTGAAAAATGACCCATATGGACAAAAACGTCCAAAGTGATACCTTAAGGAATAAAAAAAGTGAAAAATATATAATTATAAAATGAAGAAATAAACCAATTTGTTTTACCAACACTTATGTTAGACACACAAATACAACCTACAGAGAAGAAACAAATCCTGTTCACAATTATTTTATCATGTAGTAATTATAATACAATTCAATATTATGTTGTTATACTTTGTTCTGTATGTGTGCCCAAACTGGGAACAAATAACATTTCTTCAAGTTTCATTGGTTGTATACATTGTGGATTTCATGAGCTGAGCTGACATGTGAGCCCAGACCAGCTGCATCGTCCTATTTATCTTTGTCATTGATTATCCATCACATACTGAGATGCTTACGGTGCTACACCACAGGCAGGGATATTTAGAAGATTAAGGAGAATGTAGTCTGCTAAGAAAGAGCACCAGGGCTAAAGCCACTGCAGTTATTTGGTTTCAATTCTTCAGGCTGAGACTTCAGTCATTGCACAAAGTGAATGTTAACACACGTGTTGGCAGCCCTCACGGGATGGGAGAAACCCGGCTGAGCAGGAGGATGTGCAATCTCTGACCTTTTGATGATAAATAATGGCTTATAATGAATACTACATATCTTGCATGAAACCAAAGGTTATTCTGTTTCCTGGTTGTTGACAAATTGTTGAGGTTATCGTGTTTTTATCAAGAGTAAAACTGAATGATAAACCACGATTCGGGGAATGTCCCAAGTACAATTCAAAATACATTAGTTTCTGTTATCTGTCTTCAACGTCAAAACTAATATGGGAAATACCCATTAGACTAATTTGCAATTGTTTGTCTCAACAATTTATGACTTTACCACTTCCTGATAACACCCAAAGTAGGGGTTTTCTTGCCTGGGGTTTACATGATCTTAACCCTCATAATGAAATGATAGATTGTGGTAATCGCCTGAATCTTCCCTGCCGATTTTAAGAAATAATTTGTCAACTGCCTCCATCTTGTGTCCATAGAAGTGTATTGCCACTGGAATTGTTACTCTTCTTCTGTTTCTACATATTGTAGGTCAGGTCTCTAGGTTGGTAATCTGCAAAGCATGAGATCAAAGCCCTACCACTCTGTTGTTTTGAAAAGGTGATTATTCTATATGCACTCTTTAACTCTACACGCTGTTTACCTTTAAAAGTGTTTTTAAAACTTTGTTGTGAAAAAGGTTATTGTTTGTAGGGTTGGTGATAAAGTCATTTATTAATACATATTTCTTCAAAACAGAAAATCTTTGTCTTCTGTGGAACAGAAAGGAGACAGTTAATAGAAGCAAGAAAAAACAGGTAAAAAAGAAGAAAAGCCCTAGTTCACTGCATACTAGTTAGGAGTTAGGAGTTGAGTTATTGAACAGTTGTTGAAGGCTATGGTTTCAACAGTTTTTTTATTTAACCAAAAAAGTCTAATTGAGATTAAAAATGTATTTTGCAAGAGAGTCCTGGCCAAAATAGGCAGCAGCACATTATTCATATTAATAGTTTGACATTTTGGGAAAGGTGTATGTTTACTTAAGCTAAGGCTGACGTGCCAAATGATTCTCTGTCATGCGCAGCAACTTCTTTTTTTGTGTGGACAGAATTCACGTTAGTTATTTAAATTTGTTTCTGCTAAACTAATATATCTTGGCTGTAGCTTCATATTGGTAGCATATACAACTGCGGTCAACTCAGCCGTCTCTCGCGTTCGCTTGGTCAAATCAGCAGCTCTTCATTTTTGAGTGCGCGATTAATAGCGCATTTACGGTAATCGCTGTACTAGAGTAAAATAATGCATGTTGTTTGCTGCTTTATTTGCAATACAAATAATTTGTACCATAAGTTCTTAATAAAACTGACACCGTTTGACTCAGTCCTAGTTTGACTGCTACAATAAAATGAAGTAGGCTACTTTTACTGTGTACCTTTTGGGTAATACTCTCTCAAAGTCCCCTCCTGAGAACAAAATCATGCCACTTCTGCGATATTTGATGAGAGATAAAATGATTTTTAGCCATAAGTTCTTAATAAAGTTGGTACTGTTGGACTCAGTACTTCTTGGACTACTACCACAAGTACAATCAAGTATTTTTAATGTGTTCTTTTCAGTGGCGTTTTTATAGGCTATGTACAAAAGTGGAGGGGCACGAACAATAGATGTGTATAAGCTTCTGGTGCTTTTTTAAACACGTAAACAAATAGCTGTAGGCTATCCATGGTTCCGATAGAGAGAGGGGGGTATAAGGAAAACACAGACACTCACCACCGAGATCACAATATGAATCGATCCAGCAGAGCAATAGGCAAAACACAGAAGATCAACAAAAGATATGACATAAAATGAATTTACCAAAGCTGAAGTAGATGGTCAACTTCATTAATTTTCTTGGACTAATGACCAGTCACCACTGGTACTTTTTGAGTAATACTCGGTCAAACTCCCGTCCCGAGTACAATAATTCATATATTCTGCTATATTTGATGAGGGATACAATGATGTTTTGCAATAAGTTCTACATGAAATTGATACTGTTGGACTCAGTACTACTTGGACTACTAGCACAAGTACAATCAAGTACTTTTACTGTGTACTTTTTGAGTAGTCTGAGAAGCTACGTGACGTCTGCGTCTGAAGTTACTTTACTTTAGTTATCACCAAATAACCCAGTAATGTTACAGCTACTTAGTTGCTGTTCGAGCTAGACTATATTTCAATATAGTTTTGGTATTCAAATAATGTGACACCTCTTGTATGCCCTGAACGCCAAAACAACCACAGACAAGAACATATATTTGTAATTATCAAAATAATAACAAAGGCTGAAAAAACAGGAGAAGCCTGTCTTCCCTTGGTCTCCAGGAGAAAACGCCACTGTGTATCACCAAGTTTTCATAGTTTTGTGTGTAAAATAGATCGCTGCAGCGAACACGACTCTATGTATTTGTTTATGGTTTATTTGATATGGAGGGATGCAGTATACATAGAAGTTCAGAGAAGAAGCAACCCCTATATATTGTTTATTTTTATTTCATTTCATTTTGGCCCCAGAGGCAAATATAGAGTTAATGTGCGGAGATTATAATGTCCCGTTTACTAAAATATGTATTGTTTTATGATGTTTAGTTGACAAAATAGTCACTGTGCTACATTTTGCTGCACTCAAGCATACATCTGAAGACAAGAGTTGTGTCCCCCTTTGGCCACAAGGGGGAGTATATATATATATATATATATATTGTATGTATATATATATATATATATATATATATTGTATGTATATATATATATATTTTGTATATATATATTTTGTATAGATGTTGCAACTATACAGAGGTTTGGCAATACTATATAACTGAGGTCATGCTAATTGAATTGAATTGAGTATACCTTTAAGTGGGCTGTCAGGAGGAAACAAAGGTTCGCCAACACATTATACTGCTGAGAAAGGCTGTACAAAGACGTGAAACGATGTGCTGCAATGTCTGTGTATTTTTGAAGAATGGCAAGTAAAGGAAGAAAGTAATAACTCACACTGAGTCTTAATACATTACTTTATTTCATTATTTCCCCCTTCATTTCAGAAACACTATCCCATGATTTATTATGTTTGTGTTACACACACACCATTACTGAATTCATTCTAAAACCAAGAATAACCTATATACAACAATAAGGAGCCCTGGCTCAAGGACGGACAAAACAAGGACACCACACACCACTATATTTATTTAAAGAGAGTAACTCAATTGTGATATCAGTTTAATCAGTAATGTGTGTAGTGTATGGGTGTGTGATGTGTCAGTAGGGCCGAACTGGGACCATAGGTCAGGCCGGGAATTATACACCCAACCAGGCCACTACCAGTTTTTTTTGGGGGCGTTTTGCTGGATATATCGTCAATATTTACAACGTTGCTGCCCTTAGTGATAGCCCTACAGTTTAAATCTAATAGAAACATATGGACATAGGATATTGTTTTAAAAAAGTGTGCATATGTATTTGGGAACCTTTCCATGTGAACATGTTGTATTTGGGGGTGGACCTCAAATCCTATAGGAGACAAGAATAGAGTTTAAAAGGGGAGTGATTTGTAAAATATCCATAAAGAAATAGAAAATCAGTTTACAGTTCTGTTTCATATGGATGTTGAGAGATGTATCCATCTCTTAATTTTGCTCTCAAAGTGCACCAGATTGATGCATTTAACTTCAATATTTAAAAAAAAATATTGTGTCAGGTCCACTCCCCACTTATAAAAATAGCACTTTACCCCTGCACACCCTCTAATCTCAGATGCACCCCGAGTCATTTTGTTTAAGTACAGTGAGCCTTTCTAAAATATACAGTAAAGAGACAAACCCACCAGCAATATATGATATACAGTATATCATATATTGCTGGTGGGTTTGTCTCTTTACATATAGTATATCATATACTATGACTTTGAGCCAAATTCTTGTTTTTGGGCTGTATAAATAAATTGACTTGAAATAGATGTTGATAGTATGCTACTGGCACCTTTTTTATTCCAATTCAAGCACTGATTATACACATTTGACTGTATTCACCTGTAGTGTCTCCCCTTAAGTACAGTACAGCCTGTATGCCCATGATAAATTGCCTTAGCTAAACCTTCAGCTAACTTATCCATTAGCTAGTACCCTACTTTAACTATATTTGTTTTTGTCTTTTGGCTAATTAGCTGTAAACTCGAGGCACTGGCAGTTAAGTCATTTGTTCATCTCCACTTACCTTCAGACAAGCCAAGAAAAGCCGACATAACACGGGACTTTAAGGTGGGAGGTGCTGCTGTCTGTCTGAAGTGACTGCCGATGTCCGCACCGCTGTGCAGGAGACGGGGAGGGAGGGAGGGAGGGTAGAGAGAGCATCGGAACTTCACGGTCTCCCGACCTGATATTTGTATTTTGTATGCAATCAACATATTTTTGGAGAGGGAAACTGTGCGCAAACAGCAGTAGATATATATGAATTTATTGAAAGAAATGGGGGAAAAAGCACGGCACTTTCTCTGGAGGAAGAAAAAGGGCAGGGGCTCAAGCCCACTTTGATGTGTGCACGTGCCTGTGTCGGTGTTTGCAGACCTGTAGCCCGCGAGCGAGTGCGGTGTTCCCCTCAACTATGTCGTCACCACTCGGTCACGAGTCCAACTGGTGAGCGTGTAGATGCCATGATCATGTTCCTCCTCCTCATCCTCCTCCTCATTTATCAGATACACTAAGGGTGCCCTTCACATGCAACGACCATGCAATAAAAAACAGAGTGCTCCGTGCAGTGCGGTTTTCCAGCACCTCAGTGTTCGTGCACTATACCATGCAAGCGGTGGACGACGGAGCAGCTGATACCGACGCTACTGTAAACAGTAGCAGCACCGCACACATCGACGACCGCTACGGGGCAAGGGAGAGGATGGAGAGGACGGTGCCAGCCGAGCAGCAGGACAGGACCGACAACCAGCAGCAGAGAACGGCCTTATCACCATCCGGGGTGCTCAGTGAGTGTCATAGGAAAAACAAGAAATAAATGTCCTGCAAGTAGCCTATGCCGTGAAGATCTGAGGCAGATGGGTATTTGTGTTGATTTTGGGGGGAAATATGGGGATACAATAGATTAAGCTGCTGTGTAGGGGCAATATGGTGCAGTCACTGATGCCTAATACACTTAACTGAATGACTCACATGAGACTAAACGTCAATCGTCAGTGATTGGGTTTTGATGTCGGTGCCTTTCCTTTTTCCGATACATAGTGCGCATTCCGATTGAGACAGGCCCGGGAATAGTCAGGCTTTAGTGGTCCACAGGTGCGGGAGTCATATGCAGAGGTGCATGTCCCGACGGGCAGTGCCACACTACTCTAAAGAGAGTAAATATTGTGTTGCAGGCTCAGATGTCTGTCAGCTGTGTGTGTTTTGGCTCAGGTGCTGAACACTTGAGCCATTCAAAGGAGAAACATTCAGTGGTGAGTAAGCAAATAACTGGTGTTATGGTTGTTTGTGGAATTGCATTTGGAGGTTTGGCAGCACTGCAATTTTAATTAAAAAAAACGTTACAAGGTTCGACAGGGATTTATGTTACTTAACTGACCTCTCAATTTACCAATGGCACTTTCCATGGGCCCCTGAAATTATGAATTGTATGCCCATCTACTTGTAATACAAAGAGGAGAAACTATACTGTATGACTAACCTTCATAATCTTTTCCTGGGCAATGTCATTGCGGGTACTGCTTTAATGGGCTTCTTGACTTCACGCCAACTATTTTAAACCTTTGGGCAACATCTCAAACATGTGTATCATCAACACATGGATCATGATTGGTGACACTGGCTTTAAAATATGATATAAACATTATGATTACACTTAAAAGTCATGTTTTACATCTGATTTAACAGTATTTGTTGGAACTATATGTTTCGCCCTAGTGGTTTAGCAGTCGTTTAGAGGTGACAATGGAAGTGTTTAAAAACTGGCTATGAGAGTTTGCTTGCTCCACTCCAGTTTATTCCCAAGACAGTGTAGCCTCCCCAGGTCTATATGTAATGGTCTGTCTGATATGGACCCTAGGCCGCCTACCTGCTTTTTGTGTATTGTATGCAAATGATACACCCCAAATCTGTGAGCCTGAAACATATTACGTATGAAAGATATAAGAAAGATATTAAAATCGTTAAACAAAACCTTTTTTCTGTGATAAACCTTGTGCTGTTCTGCCAACTGCAAGACATGAAGTTAAATGCACCAGGTGTGTTATATGACCTTTTATCAAGCTTAAAATATTAGATTTTTAACATATTTTTTTGTATACATTAGTGCAGTAATTTGCATGCTAGCTCTCTGTTGATTGCAGAATGATGGGTAAGAGACAAATTAGTTTTTTCAGTTCATATTCATTTATTTAGAATTGTGATATTAGCTAACAGCAACAAATGTATAATGTTGGTAAATCCATGAGTGTAATTTATTATCAACTTCAAAAAAAAGAAATATACACTTTCAAAAATCCATATCTTTCAATATATATATATATATATATATATATGAAAATCTATATCCAAGATTAATATGTATTGTGTTTATTTATAGCGTAATATATGTCAAGCTGTATAGCTAATGTTCAAAGTGTTGGACTTCATTTAGGAAGTAATTATGGGAGAGGTCTTGAGTAGAAATAGCTTGCCTTTGAATCACAATTAATGAGGATATTAAAAAAGAAAAAACATGATGCAATTTAAGGTGATAATCACCATAACTTAATAATGTATTGCTCAGCCCAAGTAAGAAGCTTCAAAGATGTAAGCCCAGTCTATTGAGCTTACCACAACTGATTACACGAAGAAAGAAAAAACAAGATTGTAGTATATCTTCTGCAAATGGATATTCAATCATCCATCATCTATGGTTATGTTGCTGTGAATGGATTCTGTGCTGCTGTCTGGCAGAGAAGTTTGCATGTCAGATATATCCACAAGAAGGAGGAGACGTGCTGAAAGTAGGTAATGCGATAATGTAGTTAGGCTGGAGAATGTGAAATCCCGATCGCAGACACGTTTTGAGAGAGTGTCGAGACAAATCGGGGACAATTAAGAGATTGGTCAGTTCCTGGGTCTATTCTGTCTGTGGGAGACAGAGAGTGTGACTCAAGAGCGAGAAATGTTGTGTAAAAGGAGAAGAGCGGTAAAAATGATGACTTCAGAACTTGCATTGTTGGATAGCACTCCTGAGGCCTGCCGCTTTGCTTTACATGTAATAGTATATTGGAGATATACTTGAAAAGCCAGTTTGTCAATAGCTATTTACACAGCAGCAAGTTTACAGATCCTCTTTTTTTAGCAGCGTTTGCTCAAAGTCTTATTACAAATGCAACACCCTTCACGCTGGCTAAACATTTATCGTGGACCTGTTTGTACTTTCTTTCTTATCCCCGCCTAAAGTTTCCATGACAGCAAATACAATAGGAAAACATGGTGAATAAACAACATCAGGGATGAGAGGCGGAGCGATAATAATGACCAACCTGTCATCTGTGTCCTTGATCAACCTACTGACAAAATATCACCATCTGTCTGTCCAATTTCTCTCCAACACACTCTGTCTAACCCTCTTTAATATTAATTCTCTGTTACCATTTTAAACTTTATTAACCCGTGCTGCCCTTCTTTTCCTTTTAGATAAATTGTTTGGCAAGCATCTTCTGCAGGCCAGGCACTATATTATGTCCCGTAAGTCTTGGCTGAAGATGGTGCCCACCGAGAACTGTGATATCCTGATGACATTTCCAGGTACAGTAAGATCCAGCCTGACCTCCCTGTTTGTCCTGCGATGAATCACGCACTGAAGGGAGGACAGCGCATCCTCATTCAAACACGTTTTTGGTGGTCAGCCAGCCACTCAGAGGCATGACTTTAAATGCTCTCTGGGGATAATTAGATTTAGATTACTGTAGCTGTTTCTTTAGAACCAGCCCCTTGCTGCAGTATAATTCAAGAAAGCTGCTTTTGTTCGCAAATACAATTGGAGGCATTTCATCAAACTAACTGCTGTTTGACTCAGACTGAAGAAATGCACACAATACGTTCTATGTTGGGTCTGTCTGTCAAAACAAGGTGATTACCAATAGCTCTGATGTTTGCAGTAATTACTGGTGCAAGCGTAAAAAGAACACCATCCACGCTTTAAAAAAATCTGATGTTTCCAACAATCAAATACAAAGCTAGACCAAAAATCCAACAGCTCTTTTTGAGATGTTTATATTGACATGAATAGGCTACTAGAAACCCCATTTTATTCCACAGAGTTATTATATTTGTCCATACCAGCTGACCCTTTTTTTTTCATTGCTTTCATACAAACTATGTCTTTATACTAAGTTACTACCTTATAATATTAAATGCTTTTATCTCTTAACTTTAACCTATTATGTTGCAGTGTAAAGCAAGTACTTAAATGTAACCTTTTCTGGTTGTCTAATAATGTAACAAGGTTAACACGTACACGTAGACTAAATTCCATTGTAGGTTTTTATGATTATGAATAAGAAATAGTTACAAAGCTAAACATCAAGCAAAGTGCTGTTAGCTAACGTTCAGCCCATATACAAATATATCAGTCATTTTCCTTTTAATGACCAGTGTTTTCATTTGTAGGTATCAAATAGTTTCAGTGTGATGATACAAAAGGCACACAAAGTAGCTTAATTGAAACATATGCTGGCTACAGATGGCAGAAACGTCTGGAAGTAGTCTGGGTTATAGCCCGTCTTCTCAACCTATAGAAAATATGTTTGTGATATATCTAGAGAGAGTTAGTTGGAGTGACCTTTAACTAACACCACCAGCCCACTGCTTCTACACCCTTCTGTCTGGGCGGTGAACAATTAGTCTGGTTCAGCCTTTCTACCTCATCCCCTCATGCCTTTGGCAAACATGTCTGAAAACATGTAAAGAACTAGAGTAAAACAAAACAACCCTGCTGTTTTAAAATATTTTAATTGATGCTCAGAGTCAGATCCACTATGAAACTTAAACTAAGACACTTTCTCCTCTCTCTCCAGATACAATAGATGACCACACTCTGCTGTGGCTCCTGAATCAGATCCGTTTAGGAATCCCACAAGTCATCATTCAGGTCCGGCAGCACAAACACACCCAGGCAAACGCCTTCTTCATCACGACAACGTTTGAGAAGTAAGACTCCAAAACTCACACTCTGACTGTGTGAGCATGTGTGTGAGTGCATGCATGTGTGGGCACTTACTCCTGTTTTGTTTGTTCGGTTATCCTAAAACTTTTCACTTAGTATTTAACTTCAACTATTCAAGGTAATAGTTCATTATGTTAATTAGGATCAGTCGGCCATATGTGTTTGCATTTGTGTATGTTTTGAACAAAGGTAATACAGAATGTGATCATATTTGTTTTTTTAGTTTTGGTTTTAAATGCCTCTGTTAAAGGAAAAGGAATAGTTCAACATATTGAATAAAGCTCATTAATCTGTTGCCTGTTATTATCCTTATTAAACCGCCATTGTTATTTTTTGGACATGGACAGGGTAGCTGTTTCACTCTGTTTCCAGTTTTTATGCTAAACTAAGCTAATTGACTTACATACCTAGCTTCATATTTAGTGCACACACCTGAAAATGGGTTATCAACTGTTTCATCTACCCAAATGGCTTCTTTGAGCAGGGTTCAGAAAATGAACAATTGTGTGTGTTAGAGTCTGTTGTTTGCATACCCTTAATCCATCAAACATCCGCAGTCCAGCTCCACATAGTGTGAGTGCTCCATCAGGTTTAATCCTGCTGATCATTACCCCTCTCTCCTCACCCTCAGTTTACTGCGGGGAGCCGAGCAGATGGGCATGTACAAGGCCGTCAAACCGCAATTTGGTGGCGGGATGCGGCGCTTTTCCTGTGAGGAAGACAATATCTATGAGAACATAGAGAGTGAGCTCTGCTTTTTCACCTCACAGGTGAGAGGTTAAAAACACTGTGGGCAATGTGAGCTTAATGTTCAGTTTGTATACTTATTGTTACTGTAGCAGCGAAATAAAGAAATACAACTGAAAATGTATCTCAAAATTAAGATGCCGCTTGTGCACCACCAAGCAAATATTGCGCAGGAAATATTTGAAAACCAGGGAAGAATATCATTTTCGTGCATTTATTATGTAGTATTCCAATAATCCAAGATATTTAGAATAATGGTTTTACCTGTAGCTTTCCTTTTGTTTTAACCTTGTAAAAAAACATGTGTTCATTCTGGTGCGCCAATCCCACCACCACTTGTCTCCTATAAATACATTATCACTAGGTGCCCAAAACCGCCTTCAAAATGAAGGCATAAAGTATTACCTTAATTAACAAACATAATTCAAATATAATGGTTAATTTAACAACAAAAACAGCTAGAATATAAATGTTTAATTACTAAATAACATAAATCAATGTATTGCTCATACATTTACTATGGGTGTTTCTTTTTTTCTGTCCTGCTGTTATCTTCAGGAACAATCTATGTGTCCAAATAGTATGACTTATTTTTTCTTAAACCCAATAACTCTAATGTTTTTCTTCAGGAGCGTCAGGGCATCATAAAGTATTGGCTGGACAATCTGCGAGCCAAACAGGGGGAGTTGCTCCACAACATTCACTTCCTGGAGGGACAGCCTATCAGTAAGATTAACTTATGTGTCTTTTCTGTATCTGAATAGCATCCGTCATTTGTTATCTATATTTATATGCAAAGTCAAATGTGTCCATATGTTCTGAATTCAATGTTTCATGATGTGTCCTCTTTAGTTCCAGAGCTGGTGGCTCGGGGGGTGATCCATCAAATGTTTCCTCTCCATGAGCAGAGGATCCTCAACCAGCTGATGACGTCTTGGGTCCAGGCTGTGTGTGAAAGGCAGCCTCTGGGTAGGAAATATTAACATTTTATTGTGAAAACACCTTTGTACCAGCAGGCCTGACTGTTAATAAATAGTCAAATCTAATACAGTAATACTTTGGTATGAGCTCGTTCCTATTGTATTTGTTTGAGACCTAATGATTCTCAATAATAGCTGTTTACATATTCATCTGCTTTGTAGATGATATCTGTGACTACTTTGGAGTGAAGATCGGCATGTATTTTGCCTGGCTGGGTTTCTACACTAACTCCATGCTTTACCCTGCCGTCATCGGCTTTCTGCTCTGGATACTTGCGGAGGCCGACCAGGTACTCGAAACCTATTCTATAATAAGATTTGTTATACAAGACTTGAAACAACATGACTGAAAATCACTCTTGTGTACTGATGCTTTCAATTTTTATGCTAGGCATATCACTATCTACTGAGTCTATTTGGTTTGTCCCCACACATTTTATAGTTTACCTCTGCTTGCTTTGTCGAGAAAATAAGCACATTGTACGTTGAAACAGCACACAGTACCTGCACCAACAGTACTGACACTACTTGTTGTAATCACACTCTGAAAGGTAATATAAGTGTCTTTTGATTCCCTCATGCTCACTCACAGACCAGTCAGGATATCTGCTGTGTGGTTTTTGCCCTATTCAATGTTGTGTGGGCGACGTTGTTCCTGGAGCGCTGGAAGAGGAGAGAGGCGGAGCTGGCCTACAGGTGGGGCACCCTGGACACCCCCGCCGAGTCTCTGGAGGAGCCCAGGCCGCAGTTCAGGGTGAGGACTGTTATTGAAGTTTGAGCAGGCGGTGTGTTTTGTTGTAGTTTACTAAAACATTTTATTCCTTCCTGCTGTATTTGCCCAAATGTACTCCCAAGCGTTCTTCCTCATTCTTTGAGAAAGAGATATTATCTCACTATAGGTAACCTTGCAAACAGGCCCGGCTAGCTCAGTCGGTAGAGCATGAGTGTGTTTTGTTGTGGTTTACGAAAAACATTTGTATTCCTTCCTGCTGTATTTGCCCAAATGTACTCGCAAGTGTTCTTCCTCATTCTTTGAGAAAGAGATATTATCTCACTATCCTAAGGTAACCTTGCAAACAGGCCTGGCTAGCTCAGTCGGTAGAGCATGAGTGTGTTTTGTTGTGGTTTACTAAAACATTTTATTCCTTCCTGCTGTATTTGCCCAAATGTACTCCCATGTGTTCTTCCTCATTCTTTGAGAAACAGATATTATCTCACTCCAGGGTTGCCAACTCTCACGCATCTGGCGTGTGACACACGCTTTCACTCTTAATCTCACGCTCTCACGCTGCCCAAACTATTCTCACGCCAAAACAAGAATACCGAAGACTAGAAACGGGTTTGAAAACTTTTGTCACGTAGTGATCGTCTTCTCAATAGAACATCTTTGATAATGTCTTCTGGCCAATCAGAATCAAGATAACGGCGTGGTGTTGTTGCAGGAAGTCCCGACGGAGAATACTTTTGCGGTAGTAAATCTCTATATACATCGATACAACATTACGTGTTGATATAAATCAACACGTAATGAAATAAGACCCCACGGTTTGATGATTGATAGGTGTGTGGGCTGTCTTTCATTTTGACACACAGAACAATGGGGGCTATCCACCCTTATCCCTAAAGTAATTCACACAGCCTCTTCCCTCTTTGCTCTGTGAGGAGCAGCAGGTTCAGCTTTCAGAACAAAGTAACAAAAAACTAAAATGGAATTCATTTTTTTAAATATGTCGTGGAGTAATAGATGTATTTATTTTTCTTCTCAAGAGAGTACCAGAATGTGTATTTTATGTTAGTATTTCAAAAAATCTCCTGGGGGAGAATCCCCCCAGACCCCCCTGCAGGGGTTGGGTTTTCAGCAGGTGAACTCTTTCACCTGTGGAGAAATTGCAGGATTGGCTCCAGGTCGCCCTTTTTATTTACTACAAGACAAATGTGCCTTTTTATTTCATACATTTCAATTTGGATTGAGACAGGGAAATCATCTAAACCTCACGCGTGACGTTTCACTGTCAAGGAGGGCGTGTATGTAATTACATTGCAAATACTGACTTGAGCCCCACCACTGTATGGGTTAGCCCTACCATAGATTACCCAACAGAAATACTCCGGAGCCACCACTGCCGACCCGTATTGCGCATGCGCAGATCTAAGATCCAGTAGAAATGATAAAAAGTAAAAGTCTGCTGCTTATTGTTCTACTATAGGCCAAAATACAGTCAAAGAGTATATGAGAGTGAGAGTGTGTTAATTAATATATTTGGCAGTTTGGAGTAAGTCTGTAGATTTGTTTGTGTGTGTGTGTTTCATGTATAGGCCTCTCACGATAATTAATTTTGTTGGATACATTTTCCCGGAAATTATTGCGATAAACGATAATATTGTCGGCACCGTTGTATGACCATTTTAGACCACTGACATAATGATAATATATAATAATAATTCAAGTACATCCTTTCAAACTGCTAGTCACATCCTCATGTAAATGCCAATTTATCGAGTTCATTTTTATTTATCGTACGATAAGTCAATGAATTGCTTATCGCGACAGGCACACAATAAAACAGTGGAAACAAACATGAGTTTGACTTTCATTAGTGAATGAAACTTTGTGCCCTTTATAGTCTGTGTCCAATATTGTGTATTTGTATATATTGTATATATATATCCTATATGCTAAGGTCGCGTTGCTGACACGATAGCAGTCATTTCGTGCGCATATGTGTAATTAAACCATGATATCAAAATCTCACTCCAGCCAGGGACCCAAAGTTGGCAACCCTGCTATCCTAAGGTAACCTTGCAAACAGGCCCGGCTAGCTCAGTCGGTAGAGCATGAGTGTGTTTTTTTGTGGTTTACTAAAACATTTTATTCGTTCCTGCTGTATTTGCCCAAATGTACTCCCAAGTGTTCTTCCTCATTCTTTGAGAAAGAGATATTATCTCACTATCCTAAGGTAACCTTGCAATGTGTCTTTTCAGTCGCAGATAATACCAGGAAATGTGATCCTCATGTTTACAAGTAGAGTGTCTTCATTCAGCCACACTTTCCCGCCTTACCCCACCTCCTGTTGTGTGAATGAATAGAGATACCGGGGGAGGGGGACTGTGGGACCCCTACAAAAAGACATGAGATATGTACCCCTTTCACACCAAGACTTTTCCCGTTCTAGCTCCGTGCAAGAGCTTTTCTGGTTCAGAACCGGTTATTCGGTTCAGCTCCCGCTCTGTTCACACCGCTCAGAGCCCGACTGGTGCTGCCGCTGCTGCGTCATGACGTCACCGTTTACGTCGCTGATTTTCTCCCCAACGGCGCTAACTACAACAACAATGGGGGACTGCGTCGGATCGATGATCGTGTTGCTTTTAATCAAACGAAGCCAGATTAAATTAAATAACGACTTCTCCAACCTTATACTTTTCTCCAGAGTGCCTTGGTTCATTGTTTATTAATGTGTTACAGCTGCATTTACCGACTGCTGCAGTGCTGGCTGCTCTTCCACAGGAGTTTATTCTCCCATTAACTCACAGCAGCGGCCGCTGTAAAGTATTCACTGTCCGACTGTCACACAAGCAGCTGATACATATCCCCAATTCCCCATAAGTGAATGTGTGTCAGTCTGAATTGATGCTATCTGGCATCACAACGCTGTTATGAAAGTTTCTCTGGTATAAAATGGATGATGTTAGCATAGCAACCGAAGCTAAACTGACTATAACTTGACTACTTGTTGCTATCCTATTGTGGCATAAGCCGTTTTCTACAGGCACATTTTACCAGCGTATTTTTCATTATGATTCTACTTGTGATAGTCGGACATGGCAACCTGTGCAGCCCATGTATTGATTCCATCCGATAGCTGCTATAATACAAAACAAAACGTCTGCCTCTCTCCACAATGATCAATAACAGCGAACGGATGGTCAAAGTAAGGTACAAATAAACAGAATCACACGAAGCCTGGTTAGTGTTGCCTGACTTTATAAAGTGTGTTTGTTTTTTTACAAGTGTGTGGTTGCGTTCTAGTCACTTTGCTCAGCGCTACTGCTTGTTACAACTTTTATTTGCCGTACTCGCCTTGAACTGTTAGCTCAGGTTAATCTCGCCCCCCTCCGATGTAAGCGTGACGTATGCGGTGCTTGCTTTCTAGACGGACAACTTTTTGGTGCTCGAAACGAACCAGATTCTGGAGGCGGCTCCGCCGCGGTGTGAACAGGAATAACCGGTGCTTTTCAAGCTCCAGCTCCGAACCGGCCCTGTAACCGCGATGGTGTGAAAGGGGTATGATGAGTGAAGGGTTAAACAGGCCCGGCTAGCTCAGTCGGTAGAGCATGAGCGTGTTTTGTTGTGGTTTACTAAAACATTGTATTCCTTCCTGCTGTATTTGCCCAAAAGTACTCCCAAGCATTCTTCCTCATTCTTTGATAAGGTAACCTTGCAATGTGTCAGTCTGATTGGTTGACAGCACTTGCACAACTTTTCAGTCACAGACAGACAATACCAGGAAATGTGATCCTCATGTTTACAAGTAGAGTGTCTTCATTCCCCACGTGCTTTCAGAGGAGAGGGGGGGCAGCCCTACTTTCCCGCCTTACCCCACCTCCTGTTGTGTGGTATGAATAGAGATACCGGGGGAAGGGGACTGTCCCTACAAAAAGACATGTGAGTGGAAATTAAATCAGGCCTGGCTAGCTCAGTCGGTAGAGCATGAGACTCTTAATCTCAGGGTCGTGGGTTCGAGCCCCACGTTGGGCTCAAAACTTTTTAGGGAGACACTTCTTGCAACAGCAGCATGTTGATTCAGAAGGATGTGACGTAATGATAAGAAAAAAAAGAACGTGGATAGGATAGACGGCAATCGCTCATGTGTAATTGGGGTTTTTGTACAACTACTTTGTGGTATTTTGACTATGGCAAAGCTGCTACTTTATACTCCACTATATCCAAGAGCAAATATTGTATTTTTTAAAACTTTTTACAGCTCAAGGATAATCTTCTTATGTAAAATAGGGGACATTTGGATGTATGTATGCACTCCCTCCTCTTTACAAAGGGATAGCCTTACTTAACACCTCTTACACACACTCACACAGGCACACCACCATCCACCAGCTCCATGAACACATTTCTAATGATAATTCAATAATATAACATATATTATTCTGAAATGGATCGTTTGCATGTGAGGGAGTATTTCTTTAACCTGACACGCAACAGCATAAATATAAATGCAATCACACAAGCAAGCCGTTATTATGCTGTACATTTTGTACAGTCATTTCAAATCCATTCTTCCTGTAGATGAATGCAGTCACACACAAAAAAGAGTCTGATGCCTTTCCTGCTTTTTTGTTTTCTCCTCCTCTGCTGTATGCAGGGCGTGAAGCGCTGCAGTCCAGTAACGGGCTGCGAGGAGTTCTACTACCCGCCCTGGAAGAGAGCGATGTTCAGATGGCTGGTCAGCCTGCCCATCTGCATCCTTTGTCTCTGCTTCGTCTTCCTCGCCATGCTCCTCTGCCTGGAACTGCAGGTTGGAACAGATAACACAGAAATATCGAGAAATGACAAGAATTGGAGTAGATACTTTCTGGGGCTGATATATGGGGATGATATTGTCTACACAGAACTCTTGTGAGCAGTTTTAACCAGGCCATATTGAAAAAATCAATACTAAAACAACATCACATCATTTTACAAACAGGTTAAACAAAGCACATTCAAAGGGGCCTCTTGCCAGTTTGTATTCATATCCTTTTAAAAATAGCTGTGGGAGTAGATATGGATGAATAGCACTTATTAAATATGTATCATGTTTCTAATGCGCCACGCAGGAAGTGGTGATGAAGATTCAGGAACTACCCAGTATCACAAGATTTATTCCCAAGATACTGCTGGCCATTACTGTGACCATTTGTGATGAAGTGTACAAGAAGATTGCCAAATGGCTCAATGACATGGGTAAGAGACACAAAGTGACAGTCTGGGCATAACAGTGGAAATGTTATCTCTGTGATATATTTAAAAGGAAATATTTTATAAGAAAATACATTGAAATTGATAAGTTTGCCCATTAGTCTTTTAGCTATGCAGTTCCTGTGTGTGCATATCCAAATGATATCCTAAGCTTGTTTGCTGTACAAATGTTTCACGTTGTGTTTTTCACCCAGAGAACTACAGACTACAGAGCGCCTATGAGAATAATCTCATCATCAAGATGGTCTTTGTAAGCTATGCATCCTCCTCTGTTTGTGGCACAATTAGAACTTATCTCGATTGTGTTTAACTTCCTCTTTCTTTTTTTTAACAGTTTGAATTCATCAATTCCTATCTCAGCCTTTTCTACATCGGATTCTACCTCAAAGACATGGAGCGACTTAAAGAGGTAATAACAACAGTTGGAAATATTGCAGACAACAAGATAACATATTTGTTTTAAAGTGCCAATATGTCCCTAAACTGGAGCTTCTCGGGCCCAAAGTCTAATATATATCAGCCCACCTTAAAGCAATGATTGGACAGCTATGTATCCTCTTGTGTGTCTGAAGTACATTTTGAGTTGATTCATTGTCAAGTCATGTGCCAGTAGATGTCCCGGGATCAGTGACCTGCGTTTGTACCTTCAGTCAGACTGAAAATCTTTATGTGTTTGCTAATCAACTTTGGAATGGTTTGGTTGTCCTTCTGCTCACAGATGCTAGCCACTCTACTGATCTTCCGCCAGTTCCTACAGAATATCAAAGAGGTCCTCCAGCCTTATCTCTACGAGCAAAACAAGCTGGGCGTTTTCACCCCCAAGGTGTTGTGGGAGCTCCTTCAAACCATCGTACTGAAGTACGGCCGCCTGGCTCTGGGAAAGGTCCAGGCCTCGATGACAGCCTATTCCTTCCTGGGCTCCAGAGGGATCCCTGTCAGTCACACGGCCAACGGAAACCCAGAGCAAAAGAGAAGAGGGGATCTGAAAGCCGGATTCAGGCTGTCAGAAGAAGAGTGGGACATGAATGACGGCAATCTGAAGAATCGTAAAGTCAGCTTCACTGAGAAGGTCGACTACCAGGACGTCACGACAGAAGTGCTGCCGGTGGATCGCAGCTTCCTGGAGGACAGTCCCACGATGGTGGAGGAAGGGATGGATCCGCCCAGTATGTTTGACAGCTGTGATGAGGACAGCGATTGGGAATCACCGGCACAGGTATGTGGTCTATTTTTATTATTACAAATGATTGGCCTCTTCAGTTTGCTGGGATTCATTGTCCATTTCTTTGTAATTGTATCTAAATTGCCAGGCCACCTTCACTATTTTAAATAAACAAAAATGATAGATGATCCAAACTCTTGTTTCATGTAGTTTAACTAGTGAAAGGGGCATTGTAGGAGCCATATGTTAAAATGTGTAGTTTGATATATTTGTATATTATAATCCTTTGTTGATAGTGTTATTATATCATTTATTTGAACCAGCCGTGTGGAATTGACGGCATAGACGACCAAGAGAGTGTGGGAGAGAAACTCCTTTGCAGACCAATAACATGCACAAAAACCTAAAGAACACACTACAGAAAAGTGGAAAACAAGATTAGCATAGCAGGGCTTCTTTAAGTTATATCAGATCTCGAGACATAGATGTCATTCATCTTTGTAGACTGATGAAAATGAAACTATCCATTCCAAAGCTGCAGAAATGTAATTGTCATTATTGTCACTTGCTAGAAATATTGTAGACCAAGGATTATGCTACTATGTACTCCAAAGGAATCGCAGTCTTTCTGTCAGAGAAGAAAGAACGCGAGTGAGGCGAAAGAGAATAAGAAGTCATGGATCGATCCACCAGAGGAACCCAAAACGGTCACTCTCACTCAGGCTGAGATTGAGAGCTGTATGCAGACATATGAGGTAGATCTTTTGATGTTCATTTTTTCTCCTATCATACAAAAACGACTATTTTGAATTTGCCGGTGAAAACAATGCCATTGTTTTATGATGTTTGACCCAACAAGGACACGCTTCTGGACTACCAAGAAATGTTCATCCAGTTTGGCTACGTGGTGCTCTTCTCCTCTGCGTTTCCACTGGCGGCCATGTGTGCTCTTATCAACAACATCATCGAGATCCGCAGCGACGCCCTGAAGCTCTGCACCGGCCTGCAGAGGCCCTTTGGACAGCGGGTGGAGAACATCGGACAGTGGCAGGTCAGTGTGCTTCGCTCTGGGTAAATGTCACAAACGCCCTCCAGGCTGCATCTGATAGCCTGTGCACATTTCTCTTTCTCTCAACATCAGACTGCAATGGAGGCCATGGGCTTGATAGCTATTATAGTGAACTGTTACCTGATTGGTCAGTGTGGGCAGCTGCAGCGTCTGTTCCCCTGGTTGAGTCCTGAGATGACCATCATCTCCATCGTATTACTGGAGGTACGCACTCTACTTGTACTGTCTATAGTCTGTAGTTTTAAGAGAATGTACTTTTGTTCCCCAGTAGCAAACTTTGTATTACTACACAATAAATACAAATGTGCATGGCCTGCTATTTTTTGTTGTGGTTTTGTAAAACCGTCAAAATATTTTATATATCTGACCTCACAAGAGGTTTTGTTGTGTCTCTGAGATGTGCTGTTTGGTATGTAAGAAAATAAAACAAACAGAATAAAGCCCTATTCACACCAGACTACTGTTATCGGGGGACCGCTAATTTTGGATGAAGTCTTTCATTTCAATCTCTTGGTATATCTGGACCTTGGTTTCTGGTCAATAATTTAATATCATTAAATACAATATTATAAAATTACAAATTAAGTTTTGACAGCATTTTTGGTGCGTAATCAAGAGGACACATCTAGCATAGAGACCCAATAGCACCGGAGCAAGAGGTATGTGGTAATTATTATAAAAACTTAAATAGGCCTTTAATATAATACTTAGAATATAAATATTAAAATAATATTGTTATTTCTATTATAAGCAGGTGTTACACAGAGCCTTGATATTGTGTCCTTGGTATAATGTCAGTAAATCCAAGTAATATTCTGACTTAGTACATCCCGCGTGAATGCGTTGCACCCGAACACAGACGTCCCCTGGTAGAACTGCACCTGTGCGAATAGGGCTTGAGAAACACAATGTGAATGTTCCTTGATGTACCTGTGTGTTGAGCCTGTCCCTTTGTGGTCTCGGTGGTTTACAGCACTTTGCAATCCTCCTAAAGTACATCATCCATGTTGCCATCCCTGATATCCCTGGCTGGGTAGCAGAAGAGATGGCCAAGCTAGAGTACCGACGAAGGGAAGCTTTCAAGGTATGGTTGTGTCATAACTTGAAAGACCTTCGGCCAAACTAAGGCTTGCTGGAATCGTATTTCTACAAACGTACCCCTTTGTGTTCCTTGGTCTGACTGTTGCAGCTCTTTATGACTTCCCAGGAGAAATAACTATGTGTTTATCTGTATTGTATTATGTATCACATAAGTAGCACGTGTCCTGATGGTGTCTCAGATAAGTCTTGTCAAGCTAGAAATACACATTTATTGTAAACAGGCTTGTTTATGTGAGCCTTCTACTGGATAGGATGACAACTTCTTCAACAGTGAAGATGCAAAATGAGAAATGGCAGTTTACTCTCAGCATCACTCATACAGTGTTATCGTCTCTATCACCGTGTCTTCCTTGTCCTGTGACTCCTTCTCCTATTGTGTCTTCATTTTAACACACCTCTCCATCAGAAGCATGAACAGCAGGCCCAGCAGCACTTCCAACATCAGCTGAGACGCCGGCGGGAGGAGGAGCTCCAGCGCCAGGCGGAGCAGCAGGCGGGGGCCCGGCAGGAGAGCGAGCACAGGGCCGACGCCCAGCACCAGCACCACCACGACAAGGCATCGGGTGGCAAGGCAGGGGACAAGCCCAAGAGACCCAGCTCTCTCCTGGGGAACAACAACGTGATGAAGCTGAAGCAGATCATCCCTCTCCAGGGGAAGTTCTCCTCCGGTACCTCACGCTCCCCAGCCCAGTCCCCAACGGGAGGAGAGGCCAAGCTCCCAGGGTTTCTGAAGTTCTTGAAGTCGCCCGAGGTGAAAAAAGAGCCAGCAGTGGCTGCCGGGGCGCAGGGCTCCACGGGGACCTCAGCCTCGCCCTCCACTGGCCTCGAGAGGTCACAGTCCCCCAATAGGACATTCAGTCCTGGGAAGCTGTTCAGTTTCAGCAAATCAGAGGGGACTGTGGTGTGTGTGAACGGGACACAAGCACCGCCCCAACGTGCTAACGCTCAGCCCAGCAAGGGCGACTTAAACTCAAGCCTGGAGGAACTCCCCTCCAATGAGTCCGATAAAGGAGACTCAAGACAATTGACTGATTCAGATAACTCAAAGAGCTAATAGATGTTCACTGTACCAGTGTAATGTTATGAAAGGAGAGCAGTGCACAAATGCAACATTGAAGGACACACCTGTACCGTAGGAGAACACATTACTCAAAAGGACCACATGTAAGGTCAGCCAACTTCACTCTTGATGCAACTTACTTTGCACAAAGTATTATACTGTATTTATTACCACTTTATTAACTAGCTTCCATGTAAGATATGTACAGTAAGTGTAACCCTCTGAACAGAGATGTAGAGACCTTAACTGAAAGGTAAAATAATGCATGACTGCCTGGTTTTCAACAGCACCAGAACCGATAATGTAAATGATCTTTTTTATGAATCAGGACCTGATCATGAATGAGCCATTTGTCAAAGGACAATAACAGCAGCTTCCCATCCCAGGTGTGTTCCTCATCCTGATGCCAGTACTGAATGCATGTTCTGCATGCGTTACACCTCCATCATGTCTTTTCAGTTGTGAAGCACTTTCCAAGCCATCAGATTCTTCCGCAATAGGTCAGATTATATTCACTGTGACCATGAAAAATATATTCTATTTTTCTTAACTTTGATTTTCTATGAATTATTTTACTACATGAATTAGCGAATGTACTTCTTTGATGCAAATACATGTCACTTTAATAAACATCCATCAAGAGATATAGCATTGGCTGATTTTGTTAACGGTGAAATATAATCACTGGGTGGTAGGTGTTTCCTGGAGGGACATTTATGTAAACTAAATTGTTGGGGAAAATGATAAAACTGAAATCAGAACATACACACTCTTATATCGACACACACTTAAGGATATATTTTCCAGGGATTTCAATGGAATTGAAAACTAGTTTTTCCACCAACAAATAAATGCTGAAAGGTGATTTTCCTCTGTTACACCGAAAAAATAAAAAGTTGCTGTTTACTAAGAGCTTAAGGACTGTATGTCATACTGTGATCTTTTAAAAAATGAAACCTGAGATAGACAGCAATACATTTATACAGTTAACTCAAAGCAAACCATTTAACATTAAACACATTCTGAACTTAATCAGGCGATGGAAAACAAACCGTTTCACAAAAGTAGAATTAGCACACTCTCCTAAGAAGAGCCAGGACAATACAACCGTCTCCTGTTTGAAGTCATAGTTGCAGTGTGTATTCTACTATATAAGCAGCCAGAACGCACATATATACTGTCATGTTTGAACAGCAAAATGTAACCAGAGAAAACATTTACATTTATGGACTAAACTGTAAGTTGTTCCAAACGCTATCGTTCATGTCAAACAATTTTCAGCAGTGATATTAATAGTGAGCTCTTTAAAAGTGCAAATCAAATTTAGCAAAATGCTTTTGTTTGTATTGATTAAAATCTGGCTTGTATTCCTTCAATGTACAAGAACAAATTAGCTAGATATAATCAAATAACAGTATGGCTAACCTGGGGGAGACTAAATCAGAATGAGTCGTCTTGTTACCTGATTGAAGGGTCACAATATACACATACTATACAAATGTACACGACGAATACAATGTTTACCAAAGACCAATTATAATGAGCTTCACTTGATTCATGGACAGCAAACAAAACACTGATTATTTAGCCCTGCGGTCAAAATCTTTAAGATCCAACACACTTTTCCTTAATATCACTCAAACCTACTTAGCAAATGAGAATGGAACATTTACAACAAGGACCGACAGCTGTCCTTACAAGAAGCCTTAAAGCAGTGCAGCTCATTTCTAAATTGAAGCATACCTGTAGTCATCAGCTAATCCATCAAATACTTTGCTACCCTCGCAATTTCAAGCACTGCTAACAAAGTAGTATCTCAAGCTACTGAGCATCACACTTAGAATATGGCTAGACAATTCAAGGTCACACTGTATACAAATGCATCCTCTAGTGCGATATGATTGGCTTTACTCGCTATCCTTTCAACTCAACAGTGGTTTATTTCTTTACCTGAAACAACGTAAACCATGGGGAAGTGAAAACACACTCACTTTCAATTAAGGCAATACATCATTATCCAATGGGAGAAAACGCAAGAACATTTCTTTCAGCACTCTTCTTATTCTGCAACCGACCATAACAAACCCTGAATTGATTATTATTCAATCTAATCAACAAACACAATGCAGTTTTATTTTCAGTTATTCTAGTGACAGTAATCACATAGATGATGAGCTAAAATGGCATTATGGACCACTGCCGTTATGTCCTTATGGAGTAGGAGCAAAAGAACATGGCATGCAACCGAACCACTTATTTAAGTGAAATGTACATGTATCAGAGATGGTATAAATAACTACAACTGTAAACCCCTTAAGAGCAGCAGAGGCGCTCCGTATTGATAAGAAAACTGTGAGCTTTGGGTGAAGGAAAAACAGAGGGGCTAAAGAAGGAGGTAGATGTATGTTCATTTTAAACTACAAAGAGTGAAATCTGAGGCAGAGGTGTGTTGGAAAAAAGAACATACTGTGTCTAAATAAAGGAGGGAAAGGGTTTTTGGTTAAAGAGGAAACTTGAAGTCATATGCAAACATTAGGAACAATGTTACTTTGGGATTCTTGTTATGCCGGCTGTGTTCTGCAATGTATGAATTGTCGTGTGCTTCACTTTCAGCGCCTTGGTTTGCAAACATGTATTCTGCATCTGCGTGTGCATTTTGTTTAGTTCAGTCTCTGCTGGGCGTGTATCATCAGCGAAGCAATTCACGAATCCTCATTCAGCTCCCGATTGTCTGTTCTGGCTATTTTCCGTGGAGGCGCCATGTTCTCCCCCTCTCCTTGCTCCTGCTCTCGCTTTTTTCCTGAATTCTGATAAAGAAAACAAAATTCAATAAACCAGAAGTAGCAAAACACATGATCACTTCTGTCATAAAACAATACAATTAGCATCAACTCTCTCCTAGATTCCTTCTACTCTCTTTGATAACGGTTTACCTTTTTGTCCCACTGTTGATGAAGATATCGCAATAGGATGTTTGTCTTCTCTGTGACGATGACTGAGGAGCAAACAAACACTGATTAAATCATTCGAAGGTTAAAAGGGTCTAGAAAAGTAATCGAGCTGTTCCAATACTGTAGGCGATTTCCTTCTCTAATGGAAACAGAAAATGAGAACATTGCTAAGCAAAAGAAAAGTTGTGATGTGTTCTTAGAGTATAATATTGGTTATACAGATGTAACCGACATATTTGATCAAATGTGATAGAAAGTGGGCTGTAGTTCTGACTGCTCTTTAAAACACTTACTCTGCTCTGATGGGTACTCCCGGGTTGGAAGATACACAGAAGGTCGTCGGTTCTAAAACAAAAATGATATTCATGTCAGGTTAGAATTACCTAAAACAAAAATAAGTACTATCATGTAACACTATTTCTTTAAACACCCTAATAACACTGACAACGTGATTTAATCATTTTGAGAACAAAGGAGATCACTTACTGATGCTTTACATACCGAGTCTGCATGGAACCTACTGAAGTTGCTTTTGTTGTAGACCGGTAGTCCTTTCAGGAAATCAGACTGTGAGCAGAGGAGACAAATGTGAACAATAACCCTTGCCAGACAACTACCATATCCACAACTGGTTAGTAGAAAAGTACTTCTGACATTTGACTCAATACATGGGCAGTGATATGGTACTCAGTGACATAGAATGCATTTACACTACGGTCTGTTTACTACCTCATAGCGTTACGCACTAGTCTATCTAAGTCGATAACAACCAATTATGTTATACATTTACCTCAATAATTAGACAAAGAACATGCTGTGAATCTACCTTCTCCATTTCTGTCCGAGTCACGCTCCTTGCTTGAAGAGAAAACGATCAGATGCTACTGTTTTAGCTAGCTAGCTACTAAGCCTTGTTGCCTTTGTCGTGGCCAAGATCCGGTTTGTTTACCCGTCGGACAGCTTCCTACGACTGCTGGAAAACATAAACTACGTATGACTATGATGTGATAGCATCATGCCACCTTATTCATTCGGAAACTTCCACTCATGTAAATGTAATTACATAAAAACTGAAACTGTACGTCCTTTGAGTGCTAACTTGCTACTTGTTCACAACTCCATTTTTCTTGTCCGTCTGTTCGGGGCGGTTACCTTCTGAAAATTAACGCACTGCATTGGTTGAGACATGAAGACGGAAAAGGCAACGCGCTGATTGGCTAGACAGTGATTATGTAACAGCCCAATCTCCCAATGCGAAGGGGCCTGTGCCCTGAAACTCAGATGAAAACAACACAAGCACTTTTTAAAGCATGTCCTCCCGATGGTCCTCCCTTATCCACATGATGTATTTATGCATCTCTCTACTTTTTGCTGCTTGCGTTTAGGGGTTGAGTTATGATAGGTGACCGTAGGTAGGTCAAAATACTGAATTGATGTAAGGCTTAACAACAGCACAGCAACCCCACTGTTAAACTCTAAATGATTGATATTAAACTTCACCTAGTCACTAGACTAGGTGAAGTTTAATATCAATCATGGTGCATTACTAAACAGTTTCGTCATTAAATTACACCTTATATCAATATCTGCTTATTTTAGTCATGAGTGTTCATATACAATGCAGTAATTAGTAAACTAATATTAGTACTTTAAATCTATGCATGCCATTAGTTGCAAAATTAATGTGCTACAATTATTAATAGCAACTTTCCCAAAATTCCTATATATGTCAAATATTTCTGGCATATTGCATTATTAATTAATGCCTCCATGTTCTCTACTTGTCTGACTTTCAACTCTTTTGCCTCGAAAATGAAACACCACTAATGGTATTCTGGCTCACACTGCCTGATGAGCCAAAAGGACACTCGTTCTAAAATTAAAAGCACTTAGCTTGATTTTTATAGTTAATTAACCTACAATGTGTATACAAACAATTGATGGCAGCAAACGTGGAAGTTTAAAAAAACAAACAATCTTTGTGAAGTATTTATTTTTCAATAACAAATACAAATTCATTTAAATTCTTCAGGGGTGGTTTTTATTTCATATTAAACAAGAATTTGGTTTTCATTAGTGGAAAAAAGATGACAGTGATCATTTTGTCTTCCAATAACTTCACACAAGCAAAAAAACAAACATCTGATAACATTTAATGGTAACAAACACAACTTTATGGATAAAAAAGACTGGGTGAAACTACCAGTCTTCTTTTGACCAAATGCAAATTATTTGTCAAAGGCCAGCTTTTACTCCCCACCCATGATTAATGGAGTGCAAAAAAGCAAAACCCAACCCACACCCAGTATCACCGTTACACAGGGTCTTTGCTGAGCACCCTGAGCAATGGCAACTTTTCTGAACCAATGTCTGTTTCTCAAAGACTGGCAGGTTTTCCGACAAGGTCCTTCAGTGTGTGAGTGACTTCCGCCCCTTCAACATGCGCCTCAGAATCACCTCGATGCCGCTTTGTGTGCTGATCCTCTTGATCCAGCCGTGGGTCCTCTTGCGTTTGATGTTCTTGGGCTGATACTCTGTACCTCTCTTCTTTGTCCGAATCTGCTGGTATTGCCATGGAAGCTGTTGGAACACTCCTGAACCCTCAGCTTGTGAAGAAAGCAGCCCACATCTGGAAATAGTAGGTCTTGCAGCTGCTGTGGGCACCATCCAGCTGCTGAATAGTCTAAGGCGAGAGTTGCCAGGTATTGCAAGGTTTCCTGCAGGGATGCTGTGGACAAATGTTTACACATGTTATAAACAAATCATTTTGTATTCTTCTTCCTGTGTCTCTGCATGCACCACTTATACCAAAGCAAATTCCTCGTATGTGTAAACCTACTTGGTATTAAAACTGATTCTCATTCTGATTCTTTATTACCAAGTTCGTTGTATAATCTAGAGTGCTGCTTTTTATATTTGTTCTCATGCACGGATCCAAAGCATTCGTGTCAACTGTTTACACAATAATTAAATATATGTAGATTGAAAACACATCAGAACTGTAACTGTTACTGCTACTGGAATAATACGAGTAAACACTGCATACAGATGTAAATCAAAAGTCATTAATGATATGTTAATTAGCTATAATTGAGCTATAATTGAAATAGCCTTCACCTTACTAAATATATTCTTCAATCAGTAGCTAGCTGGCACCTGCATCCCTAACTAGCCACGCTGCTAACACACTGCTAAGCTAGCTAAACAATATTAGCACTGTAAACAAACACTGGTTTTGCCGTTTGTCGAACATGGACATACGTAGACTTTGTTACCTGGTGAAATTGTTTATCCCACGCAGTCGGGAAATAGATGACCGTATAATGTTCATTTTTAGATAGCTACACAGTTGACACAGACATGAGAACAGTGAATGTCACAGGTCTGCCTGCGTATATAAAGCAACACGATTGGTTAATACGTTTCAGCCAATGAGAAGGCTTGTTGCTGAAGATATTGTATTAGTGCCCCGAGTACTGTTTGTCAGGTCAAACTCACAAGAAGTTTACCAACTTTACCGGCCAACGCCACGGTGTTTCAGTGCCAGAAAAAGGTGTATTGGCAACATTAATGAATCTAAGTCTGACAGGTATGATTTGAGCTTAGCATCTGCCAAATGAGGGACACGAAACAAGGAAAGCGATGGCATTTGTATACAGACTGAGATGACTCGATGCCTGAGAAGTTTTACCTCGGGGTAACATACCCATCAATGTACGATTCACAACCATGGTTCACAGTCACAGTACATACTGCACAACCCTGTGGAGAGAACTCAAATAACCCTCTCTTCACATAGTTCACAAGTGCAGTTTTCACAAATCAGTGCACTGCTGCCCAACACTTGACTTAACCTGCTCACTCAAGTAATGTAAAAATTACATTATTAATCTACTTTTAACCAGTGCTTGAATTGGAATGAAAAAGGTGCCAGTACTGTAAAATCAGCAACTTTTTCAAGTCAATTTTATATATACAGCCCACAAACAAGAATTTGGCTACTATAATGCTGGTGGGTTTGTCTCTTTACTACTGTATATTTTAGAAAGGTTCACTGTACTTAACATTTTTTATGATAGGCAGCGGATATGGCTAAAGCTCAGTAAGGTCAATATTAACTGAAAATATAGCAATGAAGCAGAGACCTTTCAGGTGAGAGCCCCTCTGGTGGTGTTCAACATTAATGACAAGGAAACAAAGCTCTGGTCAGAAGCATTTTTTATAAAAAGCTTTAACAAAATTAAGTATTTCTGTACATTTTGAATGCAATCTAACTTTCCAACTCAGAAAACGAAAAACGAAAAAGTGCCAAAAGTCTTCTCACATGGCTGAGCTGCTTTGCAATATACTTCACCACTGAAGAATACAAATATGTATAAAGTAAACTATGATGCAATCTAACTTTCCAACTCAGAAAAATGATAAAGAGCATGAACAAAGAACATGTAAAAACAAATGCAAAATTTGCACAATCTAAAATGAGAAACTGTAACTGCAAGTAACAAAGTCTGAGCCATGGTAAAGAGTTACATTGAACACCAAGCTGATCAGATAACTCCCTGGTTGGTCTGAAGTCCTTCTATCTCCAGGATCTGTACAAATCGGCACATTATGCCAAAAGTCTTCTCACTGGGTGAGCTGCTTTGCAATATACTTCACATTGTTAGAAAAGGCTCCAGAAGGCCTTGGGGACATCAGTATCAGGGGCTGGAGCTGGACAGGCTCTTTCATCAGCACTTCTCCTTCCCTTTGCCAGCCAGGACCTCACATACTGTTCCGGATTGAACTGTCCTAGTGATGGTCCATTACATTTAATGAAAACCAGGCTGGACAGTCGGCTGACAGAGAGAGCATTCCTTTTTGCAGTAAGGATATCGTTCATGCAGCTGAATGCCCGCTCACACTCACTAGTGGAGACAGCGATGGTTCGGACTGCTTTCAGTAGAGGCTCCATGGCAGCAGGTGTACGGGATGCCCTGGTTTCCTTGTATTCGCGCAAGCCCTGAACAGTCTCTCTTCTGTCCACTCAGCACTTCGCACAAACGTAGCACCTCTACGTCCCCATACTGTACGTCTAACTCCTCTTCAGGCCAACTTCCAGGATGGATAACTTTCATGTCCTGGATTAGCTGATTGTCCCGGGCCTCCCGGCCATGTAATGGGATTTCTCTTGTGCTGACATGAGAGGAGGTTGTGGAAGTCATTCTGTGTCTCAGATTCTCTACCATACTGCGGAAAAACTGACCTGCATGAATCTGTACAAGCCTGCCATTCTCACGCAGGGCAACACCCTTGAAGGACTTCTCAGCTAGAGCTGTATGAACTGTAGTCATGTGTGGGCCAGGCATGGTGACCATGGATTCAAAAACTCGTATTTCTCGAGTTAAGAGCCTATCTGCTGTAGGCAGTGTCATCTCTCTTTTTTGGAGTTGCCGAGAGAGGTCGCTGAGCTCTGTGAGCGTATCGTACATCAGTCCCAGATTGCTGACAAACGTTGCAGATGTGAGCACATCATCCAGGCCCTTGTACTTTGCTCTGTCTCTTGAATCCCTGCTCGTGTCGTTTGCAGCATTTGTGAAGTGATCATGAAGCACTCGGTAGTTTTCCCAGACTGCTCTGACGCTCCTTTCACTTGAAGCCACCCAGCGGATGGACAAAACACGCCCTATCACCAGGAGACGCTGTCCGACTGCTTGCGCACACTGCGCTAACTGCCTCTGATTTTTGGGGGAGGCATGGAACAAGGAATAGAGTTTGTCAAAAAAGATCTGGAAATGATTGAGCCCTGAGACCTCCTTGACCACATCCCCAACTGCCAGCTCTAGACGATGATTGGAGCAGTGCCACACAAACAGGCTTGGGAATTTACTACACAACTGGGTAGCAACGCCTGTTCTCTTCCCTAGCATGACTGAAGCCCCATCACATGCAAAAGAAACGAAACACTGACCTAAAAAGTCCTCGTTAAAATCTCTTCCAAGACACTCCATTAACGCCTTTGTGATGTCATCAGCCGTTGTTCCATCCAACTCGATCAGCTCCCAAAAAAACGTTTCGGGCTCAGCATCAGCTAATGCTGAGCGTAGACACACAACAAGCACCGTTTTACCACTAATAGTGGTAGATTCATCGACCAAAACACAGAGTTTTCTTTGGTTTTCT